CTGTAAGGGTTTCGTGGCGTATGTGATGGATACGCGAGTGATCTCCGAGAGACCGAGCTCAGTGGATGAAGTTCCGGTGGTGCGTAAGTTTCTAGATGTTTTTCCCGAAGAGTTACCAGGTGTGCCTCCCGTGAGGCAAGTGGAGTTCGGTATCGATTTGGTTCCGGGAGTCGCGCCTATCGCTAAGGTGCCTTATCGCCTTGCACCTCCAGAGATGCAAGAGTTATCCTTGCAGCTTCAGGAGCTGCTGGGGAAGGGGTTTATTCGGCCGAGTAGCTCACCATGGGGAGCACCCATTCTGTTTGCAAAAAAGAAGGACGGCTCGCATCGAATGTGTATTGATTATCGAGAATTGAATAAGCTGACGGTCAAGAACCGTTACCCATTGCCGAGGATCGACGATTTATTTGATCAGTTGCAGGGAGCATCTTGGTTCTCCAAGATCGATTTGAGGTCGGGCTATCATCAGGAGAGAGTGTGGGACGAGGACGTCCAAAAGACAGCATTCAGGACGCGTTATGGGCATTATGAGTTTGTGGTGATGCCTTTTAGGCTCACCAATGCCCCGACTGTGTTCATGGACCTCATGAACAGGGTATGCAGACCGATGTTGGATCGGTCGGTGATTGTGTTTATCGATGATATTCTGGTATATTCGAGATCTAAAGAGCAACATGAGGAGCATTTGAGGGAGGTTCTTGGAGTTTTGAGATCGGAGAAGCTTTAGGCAAAGTTTTCCAAGTGCGATTTCTGGTTGCGGGAGGTCTAGTTTCTGGGGCACCTCGTTAATCAGAAAGGGATATTGGTCGATCTGGCCAAGGTTGACACGGTGATGAGGTGGGAGGTGCCAAAGTCACCTTCTGAGATCAGGAGCTTCCTTGGGCTGGCAGGGTACTATCGGAGGTTTATTAAGGATTTCTCCAAGATTGCAGTGCCACTCACCAGATTGACCCGGAAGGGTGTTACATTTTTATGGGGTCCCGAGCAGCAGACCTCCTTTGAGACGCTTCGCCAAAGGTTGTGCGAAGCTCCGGTATTAGCTCTTCCGGAAGGGATGGAACATTTTGTGGTATTCTGTGATGCATCGATTTTAGGGCTAGGAGCGGTGCTGATGTAGAAGGGACATGTGATAGCATATGCATCGAGGCAGTTGAAGCCTCATGAGACGAGATATCCCACACATGATTTAGAGCTGGGGGCAGTGGTTTTCGCTCTCAAGATTTGGCGGCACTACTTGCATGGGGTTCGTTGTACGATATACACGGACCATAAGAGCTTGAAGTACTTGATGGATCAACCTAACCTAAATATACGGCAGAGGAGGTGGTTAGATGTAGTCAAGTATTATGATTGCGAGATCTTGTATCACCCGGGCAAGGCTAATGTGGTAGCCGACGCATTGAGTCGCAGGGCGGAGAGTACTCCACTGCGAAATGTATGTTTGAGAATGACCGTGATAGCTCCAGTTCTGGACGCCATTCGTGGGGCACAGGCCGAGGCTATGCATCCGGAAATTCAAAAAAGAGAACGGGTCGTCGGGTTGGTTTCTGAGTTCGTGTCGGATAGTCGAGGGCTTATGACTTTTCAGGGCCGTAATTGGGTACCGTTTGTGGGCGGTACGCGTACTACATTGATGGAGGAGGCTCATAGATCGAAATTTTCGATCCATCCCGGGGCTACAAAAATGTATTTGGATTTGAGGAGAGAGTATTGGTGGACTTGTATGAAGAGGGACGTCGCATGGTTTGTCGAGAGGTGTTTGACCTGTCGAAGGGTGAAGGCCGAGAACCAGAGACCGCATGGCAAGTTGCAACCATTTGAGGTTCCCGAGTGGAAGTGGGAACAGATCACTATGGATTTCATCACCAAATTGCCGAGGACTGCCAGAGGAGTCGATGCAATTTGGGTGATTGTGGATAGGTTGACAAAGAGCGCTCACTTTCTTGCCATCAGTGAGAGTTCTTCGGCGGAGAAAGTGGCGGAGATTTATGTGAGGGAAGTTGTATCTCGGCATGGGGTACCGATCTCGATTGTTTCAGACCGTGATGTGCGCTTCACTTTCCGATTCTGGAAGAAATTTCATGAGGAGTTGGGTACTAAGCTGCATTTTAGTACCACCACCACCCCAGACAGACGGCCAGAGTGAGCGGACGATTCAGACGCTTGAGGACATGCTTCGAGCATGTGTATTGGATTTTGGGGGTAGCTGGGATACGTATTTACCCTTGGCAGAGTTTTCCTACAATAACAGCCATCATTCGAGCATCGGTATGCCGCCCTTTGAGCTGTTGTATGGTAGGAGGTGTCGGACTCCCATTTGTTGGGGAGAGGTTGGGCAGAGGGTAATGGGCAGTACAGAGATCGTGATTCAGACGACAGAGCAAATACAGCAGGTCAGACAGAGGTTATTGACCGCCCAGAGCCGACAAAAGAGTTATGCGGACAGACGCCGGTCCGAGCTTGAATTTCAGGTCGGCGACTTCGTTCTCCTGAAGGTTTCTCCTTGGAAAGGGGTGATCCGGTTCAGGAAGAGGGGCAAGTTGGGGCCCCGGTTTATAGGTCCATTTCGTGTGATTGCAAGGGTAGGCCGGGTAGCCTATCGGTTGGAGTTGCCAGCAGAGTTGGGACAGATTCACAATACTTTTCATGTATCGCAGTTGAGGAAGTGTATAGCCGATGAATCGGCAGTGGTTCCGTTAGAGGATATTCAGGTAGATGCAAGCCTGAATTATGCCGAGAGACCAGTGGCCATCAGGGATCGGAAGATCAAGGTTTTGAGAAACAAGGAGGTACCTCTGGTGTTGGTTCAGTGGCAACATCGGAGGGGATCAGAGATGACCTGGGAGCCAGAGCGTATGATGCAGGAGCAGCACCCGGAGCTGTTTTTAGAGCGAGACTTCGAGGGCGAAGTCTAGTCCAAGTGGGGGAGAGTTGTAACAGCCGGATTTTATCAGGTATCTTGTTTGTTGTATTTTGTTTTTGTGAGGGGGACTCGGCGAGTTGGAGCTCAGACTCGCCGAGTAGGGACGCGGATTTGGACGCAGGATCGCGCCTGGACTCGACGAGTCCAGGATATGGACTCGGCGAGTCAGCGCTGTGTAATGAAACCCTAATTTCTCGGGTTTGAGACTTATTTAAAGGGCCTAATGGCCGTCATTTGTGCTCACCAGCCCCTTGAGTGAAACCCTAATCGAGTGTGAGCATTGGAGCTAAGTAGGAGGCCATTATTGACCTTGGAGGTGCCATTTTTGCAAGGAAAGGAGAAGAGCTAGCCAAGGGAAAGCAAGAAGGAGCCACTTCTGTGGGTTTGGAGTCCAGAGCATCACTTTTGTGGTAATAAATCCGAGTTACCTTCTTGTTGTTGTTGCTTATCTAGATTTAGGGTTTGTTGAACCCTTTTATGGCAAGATTTGGTGTTCTTTTGGTCCCTTATGAGGTTGGAACCATAGATCTGGACCCTTAGAGGTCCAGAGTGTCCCTTTACCCAAGCTTTTTGGGGATCAATGGAGGCTTTGGATTGGAATCCTCATGCCTTGGGTCAAAAACGCCATTATTGAGTTATAGGGTGTGTTATGAGCACCAAGATAGGAGCTTTACGTGATGAATCAGTCGAGGGAGGCCAGATCTATAGTTTTTGGAAGCAGATCTGACCTTAGAAGCGAGTTGGAGTGGTTGCATGGCATGGACTCGCCGAGTCTGTTCATCCGACTCGGCGAGTAGCTTGAAGATTGCCTTGGGACTGCTCAGCGAGTGGTCCAATCGAGTCATGGGTAGACTCAATGAGTCAGGGTGAGTTGGAGAGGGATGACGAGTGGACTGAGTCAAACCTGGACTCGCCGAGTTGTCCTTGAGACTCGGCGAGTTGAGTCGGGGTGGCCCCGCGATTCATTCAGGTGAAACTCGTCGAGTAAAGGGGGGATACTCGACGTGTAGTAAGAGGATTTCAGAGGGTTGATAAAAACGTCTAGACTCGCCGAGTCGCCTTGGTACTCGCCGAGTCCGGTCAGAGTTGACCGTTGACCGTTGACCAGAGTTGACCTGTGTTGACTCCTTATAGATAGTCAACCTTAGAGATATAAAGTGTTAATTAGAAGCATATAATGTTATAGGAGGATTAGAGCTCGGAGGATCGAGCACGAGGGATTTCCAGGATTCGTGAGATACCGAGATACGCGAGGTGAGTCTTCTCACTATACTATATTACCTTGAGTAGGTAACCTGAGTTATGTGATAGAGTATTGTATGCTATGCATGTTATGTGTTGTACTGCATTATTTCTATGTGATTTATGTAGTGCATGTTTATCAGAGCTAGAACCTGAGGGTTCACAGAGTTTGGGTGCACGGACCCACAGAGTTATAGCCTCGAGTGGCTAATATGTGTTATATGTGGTATTTTGGGGAACTCACTAAGCCTTGTGCTTACAGTGTTTGATGTTATTGTTTCAGGTACTAGTGACGATCGCGGGAAGGCGCCGGCTTGATCCGTACACACACACACTCGGAGTTTTTACATTGTGATCTTGGGATTTTGTATTGACCTATTTTGGATAATTAATATGGTTGTTTGATGAATATTGATGGAATTATGTTTTATAAAAATTGAAAATTGTTTTGAAATTTACGGTGTTACACTACAATTAGGCAGGCATGCCTGAGATGACAAATATCATACCGTTCGACGCCTGAAGAACGTCATAGAGGTCATCAGTCATATCAAGCATGGTTTTACGACTGACAATAGTATAAACTAACGTTTCTTACGAGTTTTTCATTCCTCATTAGTTTTATTTTAATTAATAGAACTACTATACATTACACTGGAGGATTCCTGGGATACAATTCATGGTTTTTATTTTAAGAAATGACACTACTATACATACTGGTGGTAAACAGGGTTTTAAAACAGAACATTCTATACATATTAGTGATAACAGGGTTTTCAAATAGAACATTATATACATTACTGGTGATAGCCTGGGTTTTCATTA